GGGGTGCAACCTTCTCGTCAGCAAGGAGAGAATCAAAGCAAAAGATACACAGTAGAGACACAGTATCTCAATAAGAGTGTCCCACTCGCAAGCAAAGTAAGATTGCTGCCTGTAATTACTGCTTGGATTTAGGACAGAATCGGCATTCGTACGATGGGGGAATAAAACTGCACCTCAGAACGAAAAAGGCAGATGTGTCATTGCCCACTTTCTGCTTCAGGACCCGCGTGCTTTAAAAAAGCCAGTGGGAACCACACAGAAGTATCTCCTGGCACAATTTGGTTCCAAATACAGCAATCAAAGCCCCTGTCCCTACAATCAGAAAAGTCAATACTGTTCCACGCGGGTGTAAATCAGGCTCTGCAACTCTGATTGCAAGCTTAGGACTTTTAATTCCTAATACAAGCAAGAGGGCATAACCGTGCCCTAACCCCCTGAAACGGTTACTGAGCCATGCTAACCTAATCAAAACACATACATAATGTATGAAATAATCCCTAAAAGATATTATAGGTGCTCGGGTAATGAAATGATAGGCACCGTTGCAGTCAGCAGAATAAGTCACGACCAGGTAGCAGAGTTCTGAAAGTATGCAGAAAACAAAAAGCCCATATAGGCAATTCAAAGCAGAAATGGCAATGAGGAGCAGTTTTGTGATGCTGGCTTCGAGTATACGTTGCCCTGGGCTGCTGGATTACAAGGAAAAAAAAAAAAAAAAGAACGAGTAAAATAAATACTGATAAGTACAGGGGATTTAAAGCCCGTTTCTATATTTCATCTAGATGTTTCTAAGACCTTAACCCTAACAGGCTTAAAAATGTAATGAAAAGTCAGGGTCTCCGCTACTCTGTTAAACTCACACATCAGTACAAAATGAATTTAAAACACCACTAATTCAAATGGTCAGCATTTTTAGCCTTAAAAAAAACCACACAAAAAAAAACCCCACCACTGCATGTATTTGCTAAGAGACCACCTGTTTGCAGCAAAACATACAGGAAAACCACACAACGCAGACACCCACCTGCTTCGGATCATAGACCATGAGCCTGTTTTGATACTGTGCAGTATTTGTCACTCCTCCTACGAAAGAGTTTATAGAGGTTACTTTTTTTTCATATAAGCAAAACCAGACCAAGATCAGGTGCAGCAAAATAACCCAATCTAGCGTTCATTTGCTGACACATAACCAGGTTGTATACCACCACTCAGCTTGCATTCCACTCTGCTTTTTTAATCTGGTTACAGGGTAATAGGTAGCACGTTTGTCAAACATCTAGCAATACAAAATATCAACAAACACCCCCAGCCCCCAACCCCCCAGACACACTTCCTTTGCGGGGCTAATTCCATGGGCTGTAGACAATATAAAAATTGATCTGTTTATAAATGACTGTGCATTCAGCTGTTGTAAAGACACAAAGATAAAACCCATCCCTGTTCCAAGGAGCATGCAGAGTGTGACATGGCTTAACGTAGGAGCAGGTGGGCTTGATCAGAGAGAAGGAAGAGGTCAGAGAGGAGCTCAACCTAACCAGGAGCATGACGTCGGACACTGGAGCCAGCTGGAAAGCATAGAGCAACCCTCTGCAACTGCACTCACCTATAGATTTGAAAAAAGATCTGTATTTCATTGGTATTCCAGAGAGGAGATTGCCTGGTTTAGTTGTAGACTTATGGCGGGAGGTTTCTCCACAGTGACCAGAGACAACACTACCATTTGGCATACACACCTTTCAATGTATGTATTTCATAGAATCATAGGATCATCGAATGGTTTGGGTTGGAAGGGACCTTAAAGACCATCTAGTTCCAACCCCCCTGCCATGGGCAGGGACACCTTCCACTAGATCAGGTTGCTCAAAGCCTCATCCAGCCTGGCCTTGAACACTTCCAGGGACGGGGCATCCACAGCTTCTCTGGGCAACCTGTTCCAGTGCTTCACCACCCTCTCTGGGAAGAACGTCTTCCTGATATCTAATCTAACCCTCCCCACTTTCAATTTAAACCCGTTACCCTTTGTCCTGTCACTACAGGCCCTTGTAAAAAGTCCCCCCCAGTTTCCTTGTAGCCCCTTCAGGTACTGGAAGGTGCTATAAGGTCTCCCTGGAGCGTTCTCTTCTCCAGGCTGAACAAGCCCAACTCTCTCAGCCTGTCCCCATAGCAGAGGTGCTCCAGCCCTCTGAGCATCTTCGTGGACTCCTCTGGACTCACTCCAACTGTTCGATATCCTTTTGATGTTGAGGGCTCCACAGCTGGATGCAGCACTCCCACTTTCAATCAGCTTTGTCCTCCGATCTGCTCCCACTGGGCTTAGCTACTTGCTAACACCTTCTGATCACCCCAAGTGACTTGAGCAAGGCCAAGAACCTGATCCATGGACAGCAGAAACTGCGGACAATTCTATTCAAGAATCCTGTTTTCGACCACAGCAGCGGGGAGGAATAGCAGCGTTATTTGGCTGCACCTCTGGAGGCACCAGCCTGTACTGGGACCCCGACATGCGGACGGCAGCACAAGCTCCCAGCTCCGAGAGACTTACAGGCTACGAGACGAGACGTAGCCTTTCCAAACTGTTCCCATCACACTGTGCCACCCGCACTGCCCACGGCAGCACCTGTGAAGCGCACACGCAAGAATGCGCGTTGGAAAGCGGCGACTGCTCCTGTCCCTAACCTCGCAGTCAGTCGCTTGTCTCGGCGCTCTTGTGCGGCCTTCGCAGTGTTAGTGGGCGTCAGCCACACGTACCGACCAGTCTGTTTTAGTATCTCTTTTGTAATTTGATTTTCTTTTACGTAGTTATTTTCCTTCCTACTATAATGTTTAAAAATGAGATGTCAGACTAGTGTTTTGAAAAATAAAAATCATAGTTATTTGGATGATCTACCTCCAGAATGTTAAGCTACGGGAGATGCGCTGGAAGCACAACGCTGCGTCCATTCAAAAAGGACACCTTAATTTGGGGGGAAAGATGTGGAGGATGAAGAGAAGCAAACGGGTTTCTTCCTCATAAAATATCAGAATAAGCCAATAAGCAAAATTATTTGCCTCTTTTCACAAAGAGCCCCTCATATCAAGTACATAGCTTACATTTTTTCCTCTGCAATATTGCTCATCTGTGGTGTTTTATCATTACATTCCCTTCACATACCGCTC